CCCTGTGTAATAGGCAGTTCCATTTTTAAGTTTTTGAGGTAGCCACACTGTTTTCTTTTTTTCTTTAACTTTTCAAATCCACTTTTATTTTCTTTTCCTCTTCATGCCCAGAACTTCTTCAGACACATTTCTTGCAGCTATAAAGTCACTTCATGTTGGTCAGGTACCATTTCACCCCCAAAACTTTGCTGGCATTAAAATGACAGTTAACCAGTGTTAAATCTATAAAATATTTACATGGCACAGCACAGTAAGCTTTAGACACTTAGAAATTAACCCATATAAAAATAGGACAAGACCCCTATGTTCAGAATCAGGTGTTCACAGTCCCCGTCGGGGCTACTATACAATGGTTCCCAAATGCAGCAGAGGCAACAGGCAGTTACTTCAGAGGACATTGGACACTATGATCTGGAAGCACATTATAATGTTACCACCCACCTCTCTCTCAGGTGGTCTCATAACTCTGGAATGTCATGTCCAACTGATAGAAAATGAAGACAGACAACACAACATTTACTCGTGAGTGTATTCTAACTCCTACTATGCACGCATTGTGATTTTGAATGCAACTTGTCCTAAACACTTGTCATGGTCATCATGGTTTTTCAGGTTGGATGATCCAACAATCTTGCACTTGACCATTGCTTCTTTTTGGGTACCACTAGCACCAAAGCTGAGCTGGATAGCAACGAATGGCTGTAGTAGCCCACATGCAATTTCTTCCCATAATATGGAAAATATTTTAAGTCTAGATTTCCTGTGTCAGGATAAGCTTATAGAGTTGTGTTTTCACCCTTAGAAAGATAGCATTCTATCTTTGGTTTTCCTTGAGGCTTTAATCCAATTATTCTGTTCATTTTCACAAGTATGCAAGGGTGTCCACTGGAGTAGCCAAAGTCAGGATCGTCAACCCCACTACATTCTCCAAGTAAGGTAACAGGAAACCGACATGCTTTATAAACTGGACTCTTCTGTTCAAAGAGTGCTCCATCAGGACAGTCTGTGATATTGTTCTGTGCTTCTGAAGCATCTGGCTTTAGAAATTTCTTAAGGTCTTCAATGTACTCTTTATAGGACTGTGGATCAGACACATTGAATGAATACTCCAACACTGACACCGGTTTTGGAAAAACCATTAAGTCCTGGACTAGAAATCTGGTCACAATATTTTGGAATCTCATCATTCAGAGTCTGAAGCATAACCCACATTGTGAACGTGAAGAGTGTAGCCAGAAACCCATAAAAGACTAGGTAGAAAAGCAAGATCAAACCCCAGCTCTTGGCAGTGCGTCCCAAGAACTCTGCTTTGGTCAGGTTGTTGATGAAGAGCTTCCACTTGGCCAGGCTCTGGTTGAAGGACTTCTTGTCTTTCTTCATCATGGTGTGTGTGCCTACAGCAAGGGAAGCGGCGACTGCCGGGGTGGAGGTGGTGAGGAGCGCAGAGGTCCCTCCCGGCTCAAGCGGCACAGCCTGGCCTGGCAGCAGAAGGTGGAAGAGGGGAGGACATCTCCTCTGTACCGTGCTCACTCCAACCAGACTGCACTGTGCGGAGTGGGGCTACCACTAAGGCCCCATACTGTTTTCTATAGTGCCTACACCAATCTGCCTTCCCATCAGCAGTGCAAGAGGGTTCCCTTTTCTCCACATCCTTGTCAACACTTGTTTGTTGATTTATTGATGATAGTCATTCTGACAGTTGTGAGGTAATAGCTCTTTGTGGTTTTAATTTGCATTTCTCTGATGATTAGTGATGTTGAATGTCTTTTCATATATCTGTTGGCCATGTGTATATTCCCTTTGGAAAAATATCTATTTAGGTCTTCTGCCCATATTTAAATGGATTTTTTTGTTTTTTTGTGTAGAGTTGTGAGTTCTTTATATATTTTGGGTATTAATCCTTTATCAGATGTATCATTGATTAATATGTTCTCCCATTCAAAAGGTTATTTCTTCCTTTGTTAATGAAGTTCTGTATATTTATCTATTTTTCATATGCTTCCCTTGCCCAAGGACATATATCAGAAAAAAAAATTATACTAAGGGCGATGTCAGAGAGTTTAAGCCTATGTATTCTTCAAGGAGTTTTATGGTTTCAGGTCTTGAGTCTTTAATCTATTTTGTGTTTACTCTTCTGTATGGTGTAAGCAGGTGGTCTAGTTTCACTTCTTTTGCATGTACTGTCCAATTTTCCCATTACCATTTATTGAGTATACTTTCTTTACTCCATAACATGCTCTTGATTCCTTTATCAAATATTTTTTATACAGGATGGCTAGTGATGATGAGCATCCTTTCATATGTCTCTGGGCCCTTTCTATGTCCTCCTAGGAGAAGTATCTGTTAAGGTCCTTTGTCCATTTTTTAATTGTAATGTTTGTCTTCCTGGAATGGAGTTCAGTGAGTTCTTTATATATTTTGGAGATCAAACCCTTGCCTGAGGTATCATTGGCAAATATATTTTCCCATACGGTTGGTTCCCTTTTCATTTTGCTGGTGTTTTCTGAAGCCATGCAGAAGCTTCTTATTTTGGTGAAGTCCCATTTGTTTATTCTTTCCTTTATGTCCCTTGCTCTAGGGGACATAACAGAGAAAATATTGCTGCGTGGGATATCTGAGAGTTTCTGCCTATGTTCTCCTCTAGGACTTTTATGGTATTGTGACTTATATTTAATTCTTTTATCCATCTTGAGTTTATTTTTGTGCACGGAGTAAGCTAGTGGTCGAATTTCAATTTTTTGCATGTAGCTGTTCAGATCTCCCAATGCCAACACATGTTGAAGAGGCTATTTTTACTCCATTTTATGCTTCTTCCCCCTTTGTTGAATATTAATAGACCATAGAGACGTGGGTTTATTTCTGGGCTCTCTATTCTGTTCCATTTATCTAGGTGTCAGTTCTTGTGCCAGTATCAGACTGTTTTGATTACCACACCCTTGTAATATAGTTTGATGACAGCTATTGTGATCCGTCCTACTTTGTTGTTCTTTCTCAAAATTGCTGCAGCTATTTAGGGTCATTTATATTTCCATATAAATTTTTTAAATGTTTGTTCTATATCTGTGAAATATGTCATTGGTATTTTAATAAGTATTGTAGTCAGTTGATAAATTGCTTTGAGCAGTATGGACATTCATCCAGGCTGCTTATAATTCTTTCTAGAGTGTTTTTTTTTTTATTTCAGAAATTGTATTCTTCATTTCTTCCTTGTTCTTGTTTAATGTTTTTATTTCCTTTTTCCTAATGTTGTTGGTTCCTTGTAGTTGTCTTTGAGTTTCTTGAATATCCTTATAACCATTATTTGAATTCTATATCTCATAGTTTGCTTACCTCCATTTCATTTAGCCCTTTTGGTGAGGAGTCTCCCATTCCCTTTGATTGCAGGTTCTTTCTTTGTCTCTCCATTTTAGGTGGCTCTTTTTCATTGTTTCTGCAATTCCTGATGTTCTGCTTTGCCTGGTGTCTTTGTAGGGTGTACGACTTCAGTGGTGTGGTCTTTTTGATCTCCTTGTCTGGGTGCTCTAAGGTTGCCCTTTCTTCCATAAGGTTCTCTTGCTGTACTTGTGTTTTTCCTGTTGGTGGCTCCTTTGTTGGTGTGTTCTCTCCTCCAACAGGTTTACTGCTATTCTCAACTCCTACCTTATATTGTTTGTGATCAAGAGCAGGGCAAAAGTTAAATCGATTAGGACAGTGGGAGAGTATCATATGGGATTTAAAGTACCAACAATTCGACAACAGTTAGCAGATCCTTTGGAGAACTACAGAAATAATCATGATAATTTACTAAACTAGCCACTTTTTATAAAAGGTGAAAAAGAGATAAGACTCTTATCAGAGGGGGAAAGGAATGTGAGCTGACTCCAGAAAGCAGAGTACTTATGCAAGCTTAGATGGTGAGATATAATGAGCATAAGGGATAGAAACTTGGGGTAGTGTGGAAGATAATAAAGTTAACTACAATAGTAACAAAGCTCAGAAAGATAGCAAAATGGACCAATATCAGGGAAGAATGCTGTGTGGAATTTGGAACAACAATAATATGACAAGAAATATATAATCATTATCTCCTCTGATCATAAAAAAAAAATTGTGAAATAGACAGCTGGGATAGAAATCTTTCATTTGATCCTTCAGACTCACCCTTTCCCTTCTCTTATGCTCTGTGTCCTACAAAACTAACTTGTATAGATTGCTTTCACAACTCCTTTCCTCTCTGGCTTCTGATTACGTTCAGCCAACTGGAGGTAAGGGCAGAAATTGTTGAGTGAAAGGAGGATAGAGTTAGTTTATTTATTCTCCCTGCCCTCTCCCTGAACAATTGCTGAGGATGTCTGCATCCATCTTCCCCTACCTAAGTCTGCTTCTGCCAGGCAGCACTCACCAGACAGCTGCCCTCTTCAAGTTCCAGTACCCATCCTTCCCCTGCTGCTTTCAAGTGCTAATGGTCCTTGCTATTCTTAGTCCTGGGGTATGGTGCCATCCCTTGTGGGTATTCTCAAACCCTGCCCACACCTTTCCAACAGTCCCTTTGTAAATTCTTCAGATGATCCAGTTAGAGCGTTCCATGTTTCCTGCAAGGAGCCTGGCTGTGTATTAGTATCTCTGTCTGCATTTAAGAAAAGATAAGCTCAAGGAGATCAACAACTCCCACAGGTCTTATGACTCTGGCTATACCTCCTTTCACCATTGTAGAAATAGGACAGTTTCAACCCTTGCCCACATCATTAATAAATCATTAACATAACACTGGAATGTTCTTTCAACTTTAGACAATATTATGCCCTGTCAATCAGTATGTCTTGAATAAATTTCTAATGTGGCTTGTGATACCTTTCCTAGTTTTCTAAAAGTCAGGAACACTGTGTCTTCCATTTAAAGCAACTTGATTTGGTTTTTTGTTAGCTTTTGATCTCTTAGAGAAAGTCTTTCAATACAGTGATTGTAACCTCTGAATTTAATATCCCTATGACATTTTGTCTTCCTACTTTGCTGTTTTCCAGATCGCCATGAGGTTATCTCCAAAGAAATATTAGAGTTGGACCCATGGGAAAATCAGTGGAATGTTATAGCTGTCGATGTCCTCATGCATGACAGCTATGATGTCTGCCTGGTGGCCAGGATGAATCCTCGAGACCTTATTCCCCCACCTTCAGATTTAGTGGAAGAAGGCAAGAAGCACTGAGATCAGCATTGCTACAGAACCTCCTGTTGTGTCTGCAAAGGAGGCATTAGGAAGAAAGAGAGCTCGTGGGCATCCATACATGTGCTTTGAATGCGTAGTAGCCCATGTGCAAAGCAGCAAGTGCTGGGCACTACAAGGGGAGTGTGTAGAGCCCACCCTCAGGGGTCTCCACTTGCTTAGGGTGGACAAGACACTACAAGGCAGAATGTTGTGATGGCACAGGAGGAGTACAGGGTGAATGCCACAGGAGTGCAGGAGATGGATCAATCTTACACTGCTGGGGGCTCAAGAACAGCATTTCCAAGAAGCAGGCCTTCTATCAGGGCCTCAGATGATGAAGGGAAAGCAGGCCCATGTATGCAATTGATGGTGAGATCATGGAAACAGCTTAATGAAGGCCAGAGGTGGGCCAATTGGTCTGGGCCAATGCCTTTGATATAAAAGCTAGAAAAGTATGTTGTAGCTAAATGTCCAACATTTGGAAGACCAAGGACTTTGGATCTAGTCTCTCAGCAGACACATAATCTCAAAATTGTAGGGTAAAGGAAGACTTTGTGCTCTGTTCAGGCTTCAGTCTTATAAAGACTGTCTATTATGCAGAATACTCTTCTGCTACAACAATATTGTTCAAAACAGGGCTAGCAGTGGACTATGAGTTTGTAACATTCCAGCCACTCAAGCCCAGCCACAGTGAGCAGAGGAATTATGCCTCATCCCAGAGCAAGGAGATGCAGGGTTCTATAGCTATGGTCCACTCTTGAGTCTGTACAGAGGATCCTGGCCTAGACTTACACAAGCTTCCCTTGACTAGGTCTCAGACACACATGGCCTTCTACAGGCTGGTCCTGGTTGAACACAACTGAATTATACTGATCAACCCAGACATAGACCAGGCTCTGAAGTGAAGAAGAGAAGAATCATGCACTTTGGTGGCCAGCTGCCCTCTTATACCCAGCCTTTGCAATGTCTTTCTCAAGGTTGAAGAGGAAAGATGGAAACTCCTGCTTCAGCCCACAGTTGAGCATATTCAGAAAACAGCCACTCCCAAAATATATTATAGGGATAACACCTGGGAACCCTGGCCAGGTGGCTCAGTTTGTTGGAGCATTTTCCCATACACCAAAAGGTTATGGGTTCAATTCTCAATTGGGACACATACCTAGGTTGCAGGTTAAATCCCCATTGGGGGCGTGTACATGAGGCAAATGGTCAATGTTTCTTTCTAACATCAATGTCTCCTCTCCCTCACCCTCTCTCTTTCTCATCAATAAACATATCCTTAGGAGAGGATTAAAAAAACACCTTGGAAATCCATCTTATCTGTTTTACTTACCATGTATACTTTTGTAAGCACAGTGGATTCAAAGAATGCACTTTGATAGATGATGTTCAAAACTTCTCAAGAGTTTCACCTTACACAAAGCTCTCTTTTAAGCAGGAATGGTTAGTAAATTCCCTAGAACTTTACTAGAAGATGACATTCCTAGGTTGAGACAGCTTTCCTTTGGTATATAGTTGTGTGACTGTGGTGATCACTATTCCATGTCCCCAGGTTCTAGCTGCTAACCAAGGCCAGAGAGACAGGTCCATGGAAACAAGCCAGTTGGAAACCTGGTTCTGCCACCATGAAGGGGAGCCCAGTTAGACCCAAGGTGCTTTATCCCCTAGTTGGCTAGACAAGGTAGGGGCCATGCCTGTCTCTCTGCAGTTGTACTGAACTGCCCGCTGCAGTTCCTGGCATGTGTGGGTCTTTGAGTGGCCAGTACAGAACAGCATTTCTTACTCTGAGGGCTTTTGGTTTCTGAGCATGCCAGGAATCTGAATTAAAATAAGTTAATTCTTCCCCCTGGTGAAAAGTCCTAATCTGTGGGTTCTTTTTCTTGCTTCAAAGACAGAGTAGTTCCTCCCAGAAGCTGTACTAGCTAGTGGTGTCCATGGTTGAGGAGAGCCACCACACGTCTCTGCTTGCCTGACCTCCTCTTAATGGAAAAAGTGCACCTGCTCCACCTATTTGACCATAAAAGCTGTGATATTTTCCTGGATCAGAGAGGCCTTACCAGCATGTCAGGACACATTTCTGGATGCACTGGATTTCAGATCTTGACTTTAGTCCCAGCTCTTAGCTAGCTCTGTGATCTTAAGCAAAATAACCTTTCTAAAACCTTATTTTCCTGATATACAGAATGGGGAGAAAAATGCTTTATAGAGTTGGTGTGAGGGTTGAATGAGAAAATGCTGAGCAAAGTGCCTGTAAGGTACTAAAATAGTAAACATTTATTAGCTGCCATTATTATTATTCTTGTTATTATTGTACTCAGCATTTCCTAAAGCATAGTGTCCAGTACAACCCAGTGCTTGAGTGCAATCTCCTGACGTTCTAGGGAAAGATGTGCATATAGTTTGAAATATTTCTTTTTTTAATAAATTCTTTTGATTTTTTTATTTATGGTTTGAAAGAGAGAGAGATTTGTTGTTCCACTTATTTATGCATTCATTGTTTGCGTCTTGTATGTGCCCTGACCAGGATCGAACCCACAATCTTAGCATATTGGGACAATGTTCTAACCAACTGAACTACCTGACCAGAGCTGAGGTATTTCTTAATTTTTCAGACCTAGCCTCCTGGCTCCTCCATTTAGTGTGCTCAAACAACTAATCGTTTGTTGTTGTTTTTTTTAGTATTGTTGTTATGTTGTTTTTAAGCCCTGGTGCTTCTTGTCTGACTATCATACTTGTAATTCAAAACTAGACTCTTCTGCCCTCCTGTTGTTAATTATTGTTAGGCATTCAGCTTTGAAACAGCACTTTTCTTTCAATCCTTTTTTTCACTTTAATTGATTACTGTCCCAGTATTACATGGAGAACTCTTATAAAACTTTGACTATCTGTTAGTTCTGTTTGTGAAGCAGGATTGTTTGACACTAAGTAATGAAACACAAAAGGAAAGTGATTTGGATGCTAGGGCTGATAGAAGACTACAGCTGTCAAACACACTCAGGTTCAATTTGTGTTCTTCAAGAAATCATTATTGTTCTCACTGGTTGATTATAATGAGCAAATGTTTTGAATTTGAACTTATAAAATCTTACTAATAAAAGATCACTTTCATCTTGTTTTTCATATTGCAATTCAATGTCAATTTCATTTGGAGAAGGGGCCCCACTGGTGACACACCAGTGGGAGGTCGGGGTGACCAGCCAGAGGATAATTAGGAGCAAGACCCAGAGGACAGAATGTATGAGGCAGGTGAGGGACAGGAGGTGGTCCCATTTTCAGGGTGGCTGAAGCACAGGAGGATGCAGAAAAAGGAGATGAGACCAATCAGAAAAGCCATCTGATGCCACACCAAGGAGTTGGTCTTCATGCCCCAGCAACATGGCTTAAGGCAAGGAAACCCTTTAAGAACACCCTTCCACAGCCCTGTGTAGATCACTAGAGTGAGAGCAGACACAGATCAACCAGAGGCCTTATAGGAACCCAGGTCACAAAAGCTGACTTAATCCAGCAACAGAGGGAACCATGAGAGTCCAATGCAGCAAGAAATGGACGGTGTCCGCAGTCCGCAGTTTGCTGGCCAGTTCAGAGCCAGGGAGATGCCAGGAGTTTAACCACAAGGGAATGGCCACTCAATCAAAACCAAATACCAGAAAATTTTTCAACGGGTCCTATACCCTTCATCTTAAAGTGTTCCTTAAAGAGAGCCACTGTCCAGATGGATCCAGCTGTTCTTCCTGAGCCTGGGATCACCATGAAAGAAGAGATATTGGGGTGTAGAGTCAAGTAATCCTACTAATTTGCCAACCCTAGCAGACCCAGCTGGGTGGTTCCCATAGTCATCTTCTTGTATTCAGAAACCAAGACCCTGCCCCAGCATATTATTAAATCCTGCATTGAATGAACCAGTTGTAGCAACCTTGTCTCCTTCCCCATGGTTAGTTTAACATAGCCATGTGGCACAACCCTGGCCAAGGAGACAGAGGAGTACCTACAGAGGGGCTTTGGGAAAGGTTTTCTATTTTCAAAAGGTGCAGAGAAAGATATGGGCTCTTCCTCTTCTGAGTCTTTTCAAGACTGCATGACCCCTGGTACTGCAGTAACTGTTTTGCGATGATGACAGACTGGGAGGAGACTGCTGCAGTTGACCCACAAAGGAAAAAGACCCAGGTCCTGGATATGTGACTGAGCCACTGTATGAATCAGCCATGGAACTTCTTGCTAGATGCTAATTGTTGCAACAACTGTCCCTTTGTGTTCAGGTTCCCTTGAGTTACTTGCCCAATCCTTCCTAATTGATGCTCCAACCTTTCCCCACCAAAGCCACTTTCTCTTGGGAGGAAATTGATACCCTTGCTAAAGGGGAGGACTCAAATGCTCCTGGACCTTGGACTATCTAGTGAGAGGTGATTTAGTTCATTTCAGTGAGGCTTACAATCCCAAGTTACTCCTTAACTATTTCTTGGGTATTTTTCTCTCTGAGCTTCAACATTTTTGTTTACTACAAACTCCACCCACCAACTGTTTTTGTAAATAATGTTATATTGGTACACAGTCACACTTGTCACATGTATTGTCTGTGATGCTTTCATGCAGTAACAGCAGAGCTGAGGGGCTGCAACAGAGACCTCTATCCCACAAAGCCTAGAATATTTACTACCCAGCCCTTCTCAGGAAACATTTGCCAACTCATGGTGTACTCCACCAAATTTTCTTGAAGAAAAATACTGAGCAAAGGGAATATATAAATTACAAAGAAATATATTTGCATATTTTTTTATCTTTACATGTATAACATGATTCTAATCCATTCTTATTTTATTTAACAATATATCCAAAACAGGAATGGAGTATTTCATCATAGATATAGCATAATTTCTTAAACAAATCACCAGGAGATGGGAATTTTGCTTGATTACTCCAGCATTATTCTAAGTGGAGGGATTTGACTTCCCACTCATTGACCTGGGGTCAGGCAGATCAATGATTGCCAGAGGTAGTGATTGTTTAGAATATGGGCTTTGCGTTGCATTGAAAGTCTCTGTGCGAGCTTGGGAGCATTTGATACAGATGCAGGAGCCTGCCTACTTTTAGTGGACATGGCCCCAAGCTACCTAGAGGAAGTTGGGCTCATTGAAAAACATTATGGATAACAGCCAAGTCAGGAAACAGACCAGTCTCATGCAAAGGCTTGTCCAGGCTGTGAAGAGGACCCCTGTAAGGGAGTGGTCAGCTGTCACTGAGAGGACAATTGGACAATGCAGTCACAGTCTCTGTATCCTGTGGGAGGTCATGCTTATACTGCAGCATTGAAAAACTCAGTAGTAGATGGTATCCACTGGCATGGAGCACAAGAAAAATACATGGGTCAGGAATAATAGCTGAAGCTTCAGGCTCCAGCCTAACACAAGGATCTTCACAAGCAGGGACACTTCTCTCAGATCAGAGGCATGATTTAAGGCCCAGAAACCCTCCTGAAAGCTTGTTTCTCTACCTTCCCAAAAGTGTGAGTCTTTAGAGCAATATTATCAAAGGGAAATGTGCCAGTATTGGATCTTCTTCATGTGAAGGAACATGCCATGAGAGGGTGGACCAGGGAGACGACAGAGGTAGAAAGCATCCCCTGTGGCCTAGATATGAAAGCCCCTGGCTGCAGACAAAATCCACTCTCCCTCCCTTTTTCTATCTCTACTCAACATATATGGCTGCTCATCCCTGAACTGGACATTACCAGGATATATAGAATAAAGCAAGAGAACACCTTGCCATTGCTCAGAGAAAAGACGCATTCAAAGAGGATCACAAAACATCAGTCAGTTAGTCAACATGTTCTGAGCACTTTTTCTGAGCCAGGTGCTGTTCTGGGCAAAGAGACACAATGTGAAGCCAAACTCTCAACAAGTTCATGTTTTGGAGGAGAGAAAAGATGGAAAATACAGTGACATGATATCTTATGAGAGGTGAGAACATAAACCCTCATCGGGCAAAAATACAGTATAATTATCCCTGCATTCATTTCCTATTGCTGCTGAAAAAAAAAATCATTCCAAAGGAAAATAGACTCTGCCTCTTGACAGAAAGATACATAGACAGAAATAGTAAGAACTGTTGGCAGCGAACTTCGCAGTCTTATCTTTAGCATACTCCACATTTCCATCTACACATAAGATTATTGAACAGGGTGGAAGGGAAGATGGCTGAGGAGTGAATGGGAGTCACGCTGACCTCCCAAGATCAAACTGGAATTGCGACTAAATAGTGGCGAAATCACGTGGAAAACAATGGAACAATAGAGGGAGAGAAGCCTTGCAGCCATGGACAGACAGTAGATTCAACTCTCACACATCCCAAAGGGTGAGAAGTGCGGTGAAGGCTCCAGAGAGTGGGGCTGGGCACCCATGGGCACCAGCACCAGAGGGACATTGAAACGGCCAGTTAGATCCCCCTGAGAATAACAAGGTCTGGATCATAAACAGGGACCCCTAGACTACAACAGCTGAAACCAGGAAAACACACAGACAAAGCGCAACCTCGAAAAGCTTAGGGGCGCTCTGTGCCAGAGACAGGTGGCTGGGGATGCAAAGAGACACATAAGGGCCAACACAAAAATTTGCAGTGACAGCCGCCCCCCATGATCTCTGTGTAGAGGCAGCAGCAGAGTGGGCTGGTGCCTGGGAAGAGATTGGTGAGGAAGACTTTGTGAAGAGAACTGAGACAGTGACCGGTGGAGCCCTGGTGATAACTCACCTCCCACTCTGCAGCTACCATCTCACTCAGGCATAAGGGAACCAATTAACCTGCCTTTTGTGCCCTCTGCACACAGCTTGTGCACATGTGGAGGGGTGGAGGGGACTAAGTGCAGACAACCTGGAAGAAATAGAGGATCCCTGGCCACAGGGGTCACACAGCTGCATAGAGAGCCTTGAGGAGAGACTGGAGACGGAGGGGTTGGGGAAAGAAGGGGAGGAGGAACCGGGGAGTCCAGACTCCCGCCCCATTCTGTAGTCTCCATTTTGCGCAGGCAGGCCATGCCCCCAAAGAGCCAAAAGCTGAAAAGCACACAATAGACAGCCCAAAACCACCCAGTGCAGGCATGTACACACACATGCTGAGTGGCGGGTGAGGGTTGGCCAGCACTTGTGTGGACCCAAGACCACATGGCCTAGCGAGACCTCCCGCAGGTTGGCGCCCACAGAGCCTGTGAGGGAGTGCACAGATTGGGGAGGGCAGGCGTAAACTGGCACCCGCGCAGGCCCAGGAGTGCAGAGCAGTCTGCAGAAATACTGGATCCCGGGTGGAAGGAGTCACAGAGCTGCCAAGAGACCCTGGAGGAGAGACTGGAGACAAGATTAAAAGGAGAGTCCTGAAGCTGACTTCCTCCCATTTCCGTAGTCTCCATTTTGTGTGGGCAGGTGATGCTCTCAAAGAGCCAAAAGCAGGGAAAGCACACAATGGAAGACCCTAATCAGACCAGTCCCGGGTCGGCCGATGGGCGTGGGCACCAGACGAGTGAGTGAGGTCAGGCGAATAAGCCCCCAGGCAGGCTGGGGATCCTGTCATGCCAGGAAGCGTGCTCCAGGAGCTGCACAGAAAGAGTGGATCCCTGACGGAAGGGGTCACAGAGATGCCAAAGAAGGAGTCAGACACAGACAATACACTCCTGGAAAGATAAAACAAATGACCTAAGGTCATATAGGATCAACAACTGACATCATCAGAGGCAGGCCCAGAAAGAACACTAAAGAAAAAGAAGAAAGAAAGAGAGAAAGAAAGAAAGAAAGAAAGAAAGAGAGAGAGAGAGAAAGAAAGAAAGAAAGAAAGAAAGAGAATGAGAAAGAGAAAGAGAAAGAGAGAGAGAAAGAAAGAAAGAAAGAAGAAAGAAAGAAAGAAAGAAAGAAAGAAAGAAAGAAAGAAAGAAAGAAAGAAAGAAAGAAAAGAAAATGAAAAGACCTGCCTGCTACCATAGAAGTTTAATCAACAAAGTTGGGAGATCTAGACAGACAATAGAAGCAGAAGCATAAATAAATAAATAAATAAATAACTTAATAGACTCTCACAAAATGGGAAGAAAAAGAAGTTCCCACGAAATGAGGGGGGAAAGAGATTCCCTGCAGAGAGAGCTAAATGAAATAGAGGCAAGGGAACTATCAGATATGGAATTCAAAACAATGGTTCTAGGAAGCTCAATGAGCTCAGCCAGCTCAAAGATAACTATGAGAAACTGCAGAGAAACTATCAGGATCTTACAGCAAACTATAGCAACCTGGAAAAGGACATAGAAACCATCAAGAAGAC